GACGAGCATTTCTGCTTCGAGTGTAACACAGCAGAGTTGTCTCTCCCATGAAAACGCCACCTCTTCCGTGAGCATTATCTCCACGAGTTCATCCGCAGCTTGATCTTCGAGCAGCGTTCCATCTTCATTGATCCTGAGCGCTTGCAGCCATGATGGACTGATCGACAAAGGGAAGCATTTCTTCAGTGTTTCTCTATGCAGGAGGAAAAGGTGGCGTTTCCATGGGAGAAAGGTGACATTCTTCTGGTGGATAATTCTGTTGTGTTACACTCGAGGTTTAGCACTACTTGTTCATGGGTGATCTCTACGGTCATACGAATCAGTTGAATGATGCAGTGCCACTGGTGAAGAGCATGTTATCTAAACCAAATCATGTGATATGTAGTGGTACTCATAGTACTAGATACTGTGCAGTTAGCAAAATACTATTTTGATTTTTTGACTAAATTGGAATAGTATTAAAATAACAAATATTATATTCCACTTTGAAAGAAGAATTGAGGGAATTATGCTCAGCTAGATGAATAATTCTTGTAAACTTGATAATATAAATATTTAGAAAAAATATATTCCTAGCCATAAATAAGAATAAATAATCATTAATAAAAATATTATATACAAATTATTATTTCAGGGGGTTCCAAAAGTATAATAGGGAGAGTGTGGGGGTTGGAGCCCAGTGGAGCCAGTTTGGCCAGGAAAGGCTAGTTTGGCCCAGGAAAGCCATACCCAGTGTTGGGTGATGAACTGACCACTAGGAAGTCCAAGACTAGAGTGAATACGGACCGACAAGCGGGGTAGCTTGGTGAAGTGTTCAAGAGCCGGCTCTAGTTCCCCCGGGAGATCGACTGGCCAATGCTCTCAGTCCAAGTGTGGGTGGCACTACCTACTTGGATACCAGGCATGGCTCATCGGAACCTTGCTCTAAACCCATGGTTAGAGCACCCAAAGGTGGAAGGCGGGGAGAGTACCCACAAGGCTTGTGTAATGCCACGGTGTTTTGAAATGTTGTCCCAAAGGCCCAGACTATGGAAAGGAAGAGGAGTAGTCCTCTGGTGTAGTGACCAAGGATACAGTCGTGTGGTGAGAAAGTCCTAGAGGACCGTGGGACTTAGTGGTCAGGCCTGTGAGCCTTGATCCAGGGGCAATGTTGGTGAACACAGCCATGGGTAGAAAAGGACTTGGTGGGGACCGGAAAGGGGATATTGGGGAGGGTTATTCCCCATATCTGTGGGCATCTTAAGAATGCTAAGGAGTGGATCTGGGATGATCACTCATGGACGGATGGCCTAGTCTTTGAGAGATTGGACTGTGATGTGGGTGGTGTCAGGCCACCGATATGACCAACGTGAATGGGCATGGCCTTAGTGTAATGGGCTGATATGCTAGTGGTACCTTAGGGTGTCGGTCATGGGATCGGACACGTGGAGCACTTGGACCAAGTGCAAAGGTTGAGTGGCGGAGATGCCATTCTCGGGGCTAGCAAACCCAAGTCCAAAATAGGACTTATGGAGGTTGTGAGTGAGACTCCTCTAAATGGTCGGAGGTGTGGTTAAATGACTAAAGTATAATGGAAAAATTAGTCACTTACAGGTTGGTTGTATTACTCAGTGGGCTTTGAAGTTTCAAATATATGATTTTGATGTTGTTCATCGCTTGGGATGTTCTATGGCTGATGCTAATGCCTTTCTCGAGCTTCTCTTTCTTCTTCACTCTTTTCTCATGTTTCTAACGAGCTTATTATTTCAACATTTGTAGATTTTCTAGATGAGGATTTTGTGCCGTCAACGGTTATTGTGCTTAATGTTCATTGTCCACAAGGTGCAAAGCAAGATCTACCTTCTCTTTACGAGGTTCACGAGGCTCAAAAAATTAAGTTATGGATTCGAAGGCTTCAAGATGGGTTTAAGATTTCTGCATCACTTACTGATAATTTGCCATTCTAGCATTTACATTCTCAATATCAATTTGAAGACCTTTTTTATTTTGTGGGGATGGATTCTGATGATCATTTACGGCTGGTGGTGCATTCAATCTTTATTCCACAGTTTTTCCATGCTTGCCATGGTTCTCTTATTTTAAGTGGGCATATGGGACATCATCATGTGACCGAGAAGCTATCTAACTCTTTCTATTAGCCAAAAATATTACATGATATTATCCAATATGTGTGTAGCTGCATTTGGTGCTAAACTCATAACACTCCCCATCATGTTACATAAGGATGGTTGGAGTCAATTGTAGTTTCCCGTCCATTTGAGTTGGTGGCATTTGATTTTATGGGACATTTTCCATGATTGACTACTAGCAATGAATATGTTATTATTGCTTTTAACTATTTGACTAATTAGGTGGAAGTTGATGCTTTTGCTAGCACCCATACAACTGTTGTTGGATATTTCCTTCTCAATCAAGTGGTGTTCCAAGATTTTTGTCCAGAGTGGATTCTTTTGGATAATAGTTTTATATTTATGGTTGAGGCATTTCATGTTTTGACGTCTTGGTTGGGGATACGCCACACTTCACGAATGCTTATCATCCACAGTTAGACAGTTTGGTGGAATAGCTCGGTTGGACATTCAAATGGATGATTGCAAAGTACATGAACTTTTAGCATTCAGATTGGGATAGTTATTTGCCATCTCTTCTATATACATATGTCACAAGGGTGCAAAGTTCTGTTAACACTACAACTTCCATCATCGTCCACTTATGGAATACAAAGTGAATAACTTGGTATTAATCCATTTTCCCCATTTTATGGTATGTGGTTTAACTAAAGAGTTCCTTGCTTAGTGAAAAGGATTGTATTGAGTGTTGTGGCAAGTTGAATTGCAAGTTTATGAGGTTTTGCATGACATCCAATAAGCTAATCCTCTAGAAATTGTGCATATGCAATAATTAAAAAACTTCGTACAAAGGGATTATGAATAATTAATACCACCTATAGATCTACTAATACCTCCTCCTAATGTTCTCTAGATCCCAGTCTATCTACAAAAGAACTTTAATGGTCTTCCATTATTCTGAGATAAAGTCCAAGTATACAGGTACAATGCTATATATTAATATTAGCATAGTGGGATTTTAATAATTGTTAGATTGGTTTTAATCCAGACCCCTTGCTCCTATATATAAGCTAGGGTTTTTAGGTTAATTAATATGCATATTTTCTGTATTCCCTCTCCATATTTCATACACTTATAATTGCAAATAAATATAATTCAATATATATATATATATAAATAAATATTAATATTAACATTACTTTATTTTAATGTTAAAATTAATTTAAACATAAAAACAAAGAAATTATCCAAATTATTAAAAATTTATTTAAGGTTACATTTTTTAATAAATATTTTTCCATAAATATATAGCAAAGATAAATACTATAATCTTTTACCCACTAATTCATAATTTTACATGATTTAATTCATTAGTCTGTCATAAAAAAATTCCTATATAGATACAGCAATTATAGTTGTCTAGCCATTTTATGAAAGAATCAACAACTCCAAGAGACCAATTACACCAATAAATATTTATATTCATGAAGCAAGAGGACCAATCACACCGAGAAATATTGATACTCATGAAGCAAGTGAAACAAGAATTTGTCGCTCCCTGGAGAAGCATTTCTCCCTTGAGTGTAGAACAGCAGAGTTGTCCACTAAAAGGATGTCACCTTTCTCCCATGGAAACGCCACCTCTTCCTTAAGCATTATCTCCACGAGTTCATCGGCAGCTTGATCTTCGAGCAGCGTTCCATCTTCAAATTTGAGCGTTGTTGCTGGCAAATCTTTGTGCTTCTTGCGGACCTCCACGAAGAAACCAATGGCCGAGAAGAATGCCATCCTTCCAGCCGTGTCCTTTCTAAACAAGGGAGCCACTGGTTTTCTCTCGAGAAACACTCCTCCGTCCGGAAGCCAAGTCAGACCAATGTTCTTTTCCGCGGCCCTGTATCATCGAAAGAAAGCTTTGATGAGTGAGCCCCACGGATTAAACTTGAACAGAGGACGTTTCTTACTTGATCTCGGCAGATTGCTTGTCACCGGCTGAAAGTCGTGACTTCCAGGCGTTCTCGCTTAAGAAAGAGCAGTGAACAATGCGCCCTTTGTCGCGAAGTTGCTCTGCTAAGTGATCTCTCTCAAGAATTCGCTTGTAAACGACGTGACCTGGAACAATCGGAGTGGCTCCTCCAGTTCCAGGCTCTGGAGCTTTCTCCGCAAAAAATATGACCTTTTCCGGTGGTTTCTCAAGCTGGAACACGAAGAAAAAGTAGATGTGAAAGAAAAAAAGAAAGAAAGATCTTACATAAGCTGCCTCGTTGTGGTAGCCAAGGTACCAATCCAGCGGGAAATCATTGGCAGTGAAAACCTTTCCAAAGACTTTCTTTCGATAAGCCCCTCCACCCATCTCCAAGTAAGGGTACTCCTCCCATCCCAGCGCATCGATTATGGAGTCAAGCTCCTGCGCTGTCCATACCTCAAATCCTCGCAGCAAAACCGCGCCACTCTTGACTAGCCATTCCTCCAGCCGCGATCGCTGCTCCTCAATTCGCAGCGCGCCAGCGAGCGCTCCAGCGTCCTTGGGAGATTCATCGGCGGGAGCGAGGACCAGCGGGAATGGCGATCCATCCTCGAGCTTCTTCTGGAAAGGGAGGGATACTTGCGAGAAGGAAGCCATGATTGTGCCACGACTTTCGAGAAGTCTAGTTGTATTATAACATTATTGACTTTTGAGCCCTCGCAACCTCTGTTCTCAAGCAGGCGGAACTCGCGTGTTACGTTCGGCTCGCTCAGCAGCAGATGCTCCAAGTTCACACCCGGCCTCAGCTCGTTCGCAATTCGCAGTGCTACGTTCCTCTGCTCCTCAGGACATCGTGAGGCGAACAGCCAGCTTCAAGCCACTCATTGCCCATCCGGTCAAAGCTAAGCTTGTGCTTTCGGGATAAAGCCAGTACGGGCATACGGCCTTGCCAGAATCACGTCTCGTGGACGGCCATGATTGCCGCATTTTCTCTGCGGGGAAACCTGGAATATGTTTGACATGCCCAAAAAGGGCATGTGGAAGAGGCCAAGCTAATTGTTGATTCCTTGCCCGAGCAAGATCAAGTCTCATTGAACGCACTACTCTCTGCGTACACCGCAAAAATGGAAACTCAATCCATAGATTCTCTCTTGCAGCATGAGCTTGCCAGCGAGTGGGACGTTGGGAAGAGGGTTGCGATCGCTACACTAGTATTGGAAAACCAAGATGAGGATCCAATTGCTGGTGAGACTTACTCCTTGACAAGCAAGAGGTCACCATGATTAAACTTAATGGACAGCGGCGCCGCTTATTCCACCAGCATGAATGTCTCCATTCCACATTCCAAACGGGACAAAGAGTGCTGGCAGCCCAAGCGGCAAATGCCGGAAAAGCTACGCCATCTTTCGTATGCTGAGGCCGGGTGTGGACTTGGAGCAGCAGGAAGTAAGCGAGCTCCGCCGGGCTGAAAACAGGGGTGAGCTCAGTTTGAGGATTCACAAAGTCAATGTCAATCTCCTCTAATCAGATAAAAGTTTCGATGTCTACCATCGAATTGGAAAGACATGAGCTCTTTGATGCCAAGATATAGCTTGGTGCATCCATGAGCTTAATGTTACAAAAGTTTCCTTGTTTCTTTTGATAATATACACATGAAGAGATAAAACACTTGAAATCAACACTGTCTGGTGTATATGGCATGGTCTCAAGAAGTTCTTCAGCAGCTCTGATGTGGCCTGTTCTCCCCAAGGTATAAATCACACAGCAAAAGTGTTGCTTAGTTGGAACCAGCCCATAATCAACACACATAGACAAGAAATAGCATCTTACTCTCTCTAAGGAAGCAACATGATTGCAAGCAACAAGAGCAGGCACAAAGCATGTACAATCTGCATTGTAATACAGTGGAAACATCTCAAATACATGGAATGTTTCCCTGAATCTAGCACTACAGGCATAAGCACTCAGAATTGCTGACCAAGAAACCATGTTTTGGGTTGGCATTGTGTCAAATACTTTCTTTGCTTTCGAGACTTGACCATTCTGAGCGTATGCTGATAGAAAGGCATTCCACACAACCTGGTTCCGCTGGGTATTCATATTCCAAAATATCCTCTCGGCTTCCTCCACATGCCCATTGTGGGCATATGCGACAAGCATGGCTGTCCAGGATACCAGGTCCTTTTCGGGCATCATATCAAAAACACTCCTTGCTCCATCAACATCGCATTCCAAAGCATACACAGAAATAATAGAGTTAAAAGAAATCTGATTCCCTTGGAGCATACATCGATTTATCTGCTTAGCTTTCTCAAACAAACCATTTTGAGCATATGCATAGATCATAATGTTACAAGAGATAACATCCCGTTCCTTTATAAGTTTAACGAAAACTTTCTCCGCACTTTCAATGTCTCCAAACTTGGCATAGGCAGTCAAGAGGCTGTTCCAAGAAATTTGGTCTTGACAAGGCATGTTGTCAAATATGCTCTTTGTTTCCTCAGGATGCCCACTTATGGCGTTTGCTGCAAGCCGTGTGTTCCATGACACACTATCCCACTGCTGCATATTACTAAAAAATGTCTCTAATTCACTCAATTTCCCGCTTTGAGAAACTGCCTCTAAAACTATGTTCCATGACATTTGATCTCTACATGGCATGTTTGCAAAGAGACTCTTGACAAGCTCTAAACACCCGTTTAAAACACACGCTGACAACACGGAGTTCCAAGAGATTGTGTCGTGCTCTGGCATGGAATTGAAGAGAGCTCGACATTCTTCCAAGTGATCTAGCTTCTGGGCCTCGGCAGCCAGCATTGTGTTCCAAGAAACTTGGTTTCGTTGAGGCATGCTTCTAAAAAGCCTCCACGCTTGTGTGGAAAGACCTCCACGGAGCAACGCCGCCAGCATAGAATTCCACGTCATTAGCTCCCACTCTGGCATGCTTTCAAAGACTCTCTTGGCCTCCTCCAAGTGCCCAGAGCAGGCATATGCTGCTAGCATAGAATTCCACGTCACTTGGCTCCTCTGCGGAATGTGATAGAAGAGATGCTCCGACGCTTCCACGTTTCCTACGTGGGCATACGACGTCAGCAGCACATTCCACGTCACCAAATCCCTCTCGAGCATCCCGTTAAACACTCGTAAAGATTCGCACATATGCCCTGTTTGGGCATATGCCGTCAGCATTGCCGTGCAACAGACCGAATCCCACCTTGGCATATTCTCAAAAATATATTCTGCTACTTTATAATCACTTGCACGGAGGCACGTAGTCAACATGGCGCACCACGCCACCTGGTTCTTGAAGAGCATATTCTCAAAGAGGTCCTTTGCCTTGTCAATATGCCCGCATTGGGCATATGCCGTTAGCATGGAAGTTTGCGAGACCAGATCCCACTCCGGCATCCTGTCAAACATCTCTCTGGCCTTGACGTGATTCCCGTCCTTGGCATATGCCGAAAGCATCGCATTCCAGGAGAGAATCCCTCGATGCTCTTCCGGCATGGAATCAAACAGGCACTTGGCATCCGCTAGATTCCCATTGCGGGAATATACCGAGATCATAGTCACCCAGGTGAATGTGTTCTTTGGATTCACGGACTCGAAAGCCCGTACAGCGTCGCTCACGCTCCCAGACCTTCCGTACATCTCCACGAGCTTGTTGAGTAAGAAGGTGTCGTCCGGACGAAGAGATTCCCGGATGCTTGCATCGATTCTCCTTGCGATCGACAGGCTTTTGCATGACTGGAGAAGCTCCAAAGAGAGGCTGCGATCCATATTAACATTTTCCAATTTTTAGGGTTCTTGGAGGGAAGGAGCGGCGATGGCGGCATTCTTTGCCGCGCCATCGCCGCATTGCGATCTAGCTGCTTAGAATCTTGGATCCGAATTCTGGCATCGGGCATGGATAGCACTTCTAAACAGGCTGCTGTTCTTCGCAATCCCGAGATTTCCAAGGAAGAAAAGAGCTCCTTCAAATCGGCTCTTCTTGCGGGGCTGAAATCGTGTGGGAGCTCCAAGAATCTTGCCAAGGGGAAGAAGCTCCACACGGATGCGATCGAGAGGGGCCAGGAATCGGACGTGTACGTCGCGAATACGCTCATCAATATGTACGCGCAGTGTGGCGCCATGGCCAACGCGAGCAGGCTCTTTGAAGCGATGGCTTATCACACGGTGGTCTCGTGGAATGTGTTGCTACTGGGCTATGCTACCAACGGAGAGGAAGAACTCGCGCTGGAGCTCTTTGTAGGAATGAGGCTTGAGGGGCTGCTTCCCGACGCTTTCACCTTTGTTGCCGGATTGAAGGCCTGCGCCAAGCTGGGAAAGTCTCGAAGGAATGGGAATGCTGGTGCTCGATCGAAGCTGGGGTTGATCAAAGGGAGGGCTGTCCACTCGCAAGCTGCTAGCAGCGGTCTCGACACAAACATTCTCGTGGCTTCCAACTTGGTGAGTATGTACGCACAGTGTGGAAGTTTGCTTGATGCTCGGCGGATTTTTGACAGGATGGAGACTAGTACTCGGCTGCTGGTTTGCTGGAATGTTTTGATGAATGGATACGCGGAGAATCAACCAGAGGTGGCGCTGGAGCTTTTCGGCCGCATGGACTGTGAACCGAACGGGGTGACGTTTTGCGCTGCTCTGAAAGCTTGGACGAGTCTAGCTGCGAAGGAACAAGGGGATTTGCTGGTCGATGGAAGGATTGTTAAGGTGGTGGCTTTGGCACAGGGGAAGGCTATCCACGAACGAGCAGAAAAGTCCGGGCTTGGATCGGACACTTACGTTGCGAGCGCGTTGGTGAGTTTCTACGCTAGGTGTGGAAGCGTGGAGGATGCGAAGGAAGTTTTTCGGGGGGCATCAAGTCACACAGGTGTTTGGAACGCTATGGTACGAGCCTACGTAGAAAATGGACTGGAAGAACAGGCTCTGGAACTCTTCGAACGCATGATACCGCCACCCGACGCTGTGACTTTCTTGGCAGCTCTGAAAGCTTGCGCGAACTTGGCAACCAGAGACGACGTCGATGACAAGCTCGGTAAAGTTTTGTCACTCGAAAAGGCCAGGGCCATCGACTGCGAATGTGAAAAACAGGGATTCGATCGAGATGTTTACATCTCGAGCGCGCTGGTGAATGCTTTTGCGAGATGTGGCAGCATGGTTGATGCCAAGAGAGTTTTCGACAGGTTTCCGGGGACTCAAACTCTAGTGACTTGGAACGTCCTTCTTCTCGGCTACGCAGAGAACGATGACGAAGAACGGGCTCTAAACTTATTCGCTGGCTTGCTTCGAGACAACGAACACAGCACTACAGAAGAACTTACGTTTGTCGCGGTGCTGAAAGCTTGCATAAACCTGGCTCTGAAGGAGGAATGCCCAGAAGGAAGGAAGATCAAAGCATCGTCACTTTCGAAAGGAAAGTTTGTCCACTCGCAAGCTACGCAGCGTGGATTCGAGAGTGGAACTTTAGTCGGGAACACGCTGATAGATTTTTACATGAAGTGCGGCACTCCGGTACGTGCATGGCTCGTCTTCCAGGCGATGGGATCCTCAACAGCAGTGACTTGGACGAGTATGATACTAGGATCCACCGAAAACGGGGACGCAGAGTTTGCGCTGGATTTGTTCTTCTCGATGGAGCAGTGCTGTGTTCCCGACGCGCAAGCCATCGTAGCAGCGCTCAAGGCTTGCACTGGCCTGGCAGCAAGAGAAGAAGGCCGAGTTTTGGAAGGCAAGCTCGTCAAGACTAAGTCTCTGGAGATCGGGAAGGCGATTCACATCGAGGCTGTGGAACTCGGCCACGAATCAAACAGCTACGTCGCGAGCACGCTGGTGGACATGTACGCAAAGTGTGGAAGCATGGAGAACTCCCGCGAGATCTTCTACCGGAGCCAGCAGCAGCAGCGATCGGTGGTGTCATGGACGGCCCTCATCTTTGGGTACGCGGAGAACGGCGAGGCCGCGCAAGCTCTGGAGGAGTTCTCGCGGATGAGAACGGTGGAAGCTCTTCGTCCAAACGCTCAAACTCTAGCGACCGCGCTCAGCGCATGCAGTAGCGCTGTGGCTCTGGAGCTGGGACGAGCCGTCCACGCCGAAGCCTGCCGATTTGGACACGATTGCGAGAGCATCCTCGCGAACTGCCTCATGGACATGTACTCCAAGTGTGGAGATCTCGCGGCGGCGCAGCGTGTGCTCGACTCGACCGAGTTTCCCGACTCGGTGGCATGGAACACGGTCATCGCGGGGTTTAGCCGAGTGGGCGATTGGAAGATGGCGTTTGATCTCTTTGGGGAGATGCTGGGCCGCGGGATTCCACCCGTCGGCGCTACGTTTGTGTGCCTCCTCACGGCTTGCAGCCACGCCGGGCTCGTCGCCAAGGGAATGGAGTTCTTCCAGGCAATGCAAACCAAGTATGGGGTGTCTCCACAGATCGAGCACTGGACTTGCCTTGTGGATCTCCTGTGCCGCGCGTACGAGCTGGATCACGCCATTGCGCTCGCGCGGAGCTTGCCTTGCGGGAAAGCAGACGAGTTCGTGTGGACGACGATCGTTAACGCGTGCAAAATGGCGGGGAAGCATCACAAATATCAAAATTTTTAGCTCTTCGTCAACTTTGTCCAAGAACCCTAATCTTCTAGCCTGTCTATCTTTCCAAGGTTCCTTAAGTGGACTGTAAACAATATAAGGCTAAACTTCGTCCAAAACCCTAATCAAGGTAGATGGATCGACGGAAGGGTCCGCTGGCGGAAACGATAAGGGCTTGTGTCACCTTGGGCGTTGTGCTATTGTTTGTAGTAGGTGTCTTCGTGATCTCGTGGCTTGCATGGCGCGTCCATCTCCACGAGCCATGGTGCGAGTTCCAGGACGTGAAGGTCTCGTACATCAAGCTCCCTTCGAACACCACGTCGGGTCTCTTATCCAAGCTCGACTTCCAGTTCCAGTGCCTGAACTCCAAGCACCGCAACTTCGAGAACGTGATAAAGGTCAAGTTCACAGAATTCGACGTGGGCGTTAGTTACCGCGGGGTGGATCTTACAGGCCAGCAGTTTGACTTTCATAGCTTTGTGCTTCCAAAGAACGGTGTTGTGCCTGTGAAGCGGAGCGTCATGGTGAATGAGACGAGTCTTCCAATGGAACACTTGGAGCAGCTGAGGGCAGACATTGGATCTGGGAGTGTGCCACTCTCTGCGGCAATCCATGCCCGTGCTTCCTGGGGGATTAGTCAGGGTACCATGGATGCCAGGGTTTTGTGTGGATTGACTATGATTCTTCCACAGTTTGGTGACACTACCGCAACAAATATCGGTTTTGATGGCCAGGATAAGTGCCCTGTCCTTTTGTCTTACTAGTTATTAGTTTTATGTGATTTATCCGCTAGTATAGCTAGAAACGAGTTAATTTCCTTTTACTAACTACAAGAACGCTTTGTCTAACTATAAGCTTTTTTTGTAAATCACACGAAGAAATATTTATACATGGAGGATTGCCTGGACGAGCGTTTCTGCCTCGAGTGTAACACAGCAGAGTTGTCTCTCCCATGAAAACGCCACCTCTTCCGTGAGCATTATCTCCACGAGTTCATCCGCAGCTTGATCTTCGAGCAGCATTCCATCTTCATTGATCCTGAGCGCTTGCAGCCATGCTGGACTGATCGACAAAGGGAAGCATTTCTTCAGTGTTTCTCTATGCAGGAGGAAAAGGTGGCGTTTCCATGGGAGAAAGGTGACATTCTTCTGGTGGATACACTTGAGGTTTAGCACTACTTGTTCATGGGTGATCTCTACGGTCGTGGTACTCATAGTACTAGATATTCCCTAGCATATACTGTGCAGTTAGCAAAATACTGTTTTGATTTTTTGACTAAATTGGAATAGTATTAAAATAACAAATATTATATTCCACTTTGAAAGAAGAATTAAGAGCTAGATGAATAATTCTTGTAAACTTGATAATATAAGTATTTAGAAAAAATATATTTCTAGCCATAAATAAGAATAAATAATCATTAATAAAAATATTATATACAAATTATTATTTAGAAATATAAATATATTTTAAAAATACCTAACCCAGAATAAATTAATTTTTTTTCTATTATTAATAATATGTTATATGTAAATTCAATTACTTAGAATATAAAAAAGACTATTTAGATAAATTTATTTAATTTTTTTCTATTAACACTTGAAGTTTTGCTAGACATTGATAAAACTAAGTCAATCCACATTTGATATAAAATCACATGGTTTTGGATTTTATATGTTTTAGTGATATTTTGCTACCTAGATTTAGTCCAAAAGATAATAATTTTTTAAATACATATGTTATAAAAACTATAAATTCAAATCTTATACTCCATAGACAGACCATTTCTACAGAATATAATTTTCTTATTATATTTGTAAATATTTTTAAACTAAATTATAAAATTTAATTTTGAGCTAAAATATTCAAAGATTATAATAAATAAGTATATATAAAGCATTAAAAATAATAAAAAAATTATTCACATGAAAAAAATAACAGTCGATAACCCATTAAACAGAATTCTATTCTAGTGATGCCACCAAAAACATACATAATCTATCACCTCATTTGTCATTAGTTAAATTAGTAATAGCATTATTCTACTACTATAAGGAGCAAACGCCGAACTTTGTGGGCCGCCGGATCCAGCCAATCACAGCCGTCCGATGGGGGGTAACTGTAAAGGGGTTATTTCTTTAACCACGTGTTTGAGAATAATCGCGCTGATGTTTGCTCCCGGCCAATGGGAGGCAGCCAAGCCGCGTGGGGCGGGACGGCGACGCGTGAGTGTTGACTAGAGATTGCTGCTCCAGGGCGTCACTCCGGGCAGGATCAAGTAAGTTGCGGCCCTTGGAGCGTGCTGTGGACCGTGATTTCTTCCGGTGTAAGCAAATCCACTCCCAAATTGTTGCTGCTGGCTGGGATTCGAGCTTGATTGTGTCTACTGCGCTGATTGACATGTATGCCGCGTGTGGCAGCTTGCGAGGCGCGATTCGTGTGTTCCAAGGGATGAAGACAGTAGTAGCAGGATTTTTGCTCCTGGACGAATTCTTTGTGGCCTGTGACAGGCATTACGAATGACAGCAGGGATCTGGCCAATCATAGCCGTCCGATGGGGGGTAACTGTAAAGGGGTTATTTCTTTAACCACGTGTTATTGCGGCCCTTGGAGCGTGCTGTGGACCGCGATTTCTTCCGGTGGGTAAGCAAATCCACTCCCAAATGGTTGCTGCGGGCTGGGATTCGAGCTTGATCGTGTCTACTGTGCTGATTGACATGTATGCCGCATGTGGCAGCTTGCGAGGCGCCAGTTGTTAACTAGGATTCTTTGTGGCCTGTGACAGGCATTGCAAATGACAGCAGGGATCCTTGTGTCGACACCTTTCGCACAGCAACACTGCCAATGCTTAAGCACTTTGGTGTTCCAATCGAATTCCTAGAACTCAAAGTTGTTGCCTGCGGAACTCCTCCCTTGGGTGGCAGTGAAGTCGTCCTCAAAGTTCCCATTGTTCCCAAGAGCCTCACGGTCAGTTTCTCCAAACTCCTCTTTTTTTCTTTCTCTCCTCGCTAAAAATCCTTCGCCAAGCTGCTACATGGGTGGATGAGGGCATGGTGAAACGTATCTGAGGAGTGAGTTACTCCACACGCATCTCACCTCATATGGCCAATCAAATGTGGCTTGCTCCCCGACGTGTACATCTTTACTGATCACTACACTGGTTTGGAGTCCGGGAAGTAAGTTCCATGATTTTGTGCTGCAAAGTAAACTTTTTTCATTTTGCTTCTTTTGTCATGGCACAGATCTCCGGGCTATGGGATCTCACTGGTGACAAAAACGACCACCGGCTGCATTTTAAGCTCCGAGTGCGCGGCTACGCATTCAGGAGCATCCGAGCTCCAGCTTCCAGAGGACCTGGGGACACAAGCAGCCATGTCCTTGCTACAGGAGATAAAGCTGGGAGGAGTTGTAAATTCAACTCACCAGGTATCTATCTGTGAAGCTGGAAAGGAAAGAAGGCGATCTCACAAACTTTCCTATTTGCCATACAGGGGTTGCTGTTCATCCTCTGTGCTCTGTGCCTGGAAGATGTTTCCAAAGTCAAGGTCGGGAAGCTCTCTTCTTATGATATCAAGACGCTGCAACACATCAAAGAATTCCTGGGAGTGCAGTTTAGTATCAAGCCTGACCCGGCGACAGGCATGGCTCTACTTACGTGCATTGGAAGTGGCTTCCAAAATCTCTACAGGAAAGTTTCATGAGTCACTAGGGCCATAGCTCTAACAAAAGGAAACTGAATCAGTTACATGGAACTTTTTCTTACCACGCTAGAAGCCATTGGTCTTTTCCAGTAGCAGCGCGTCCACTCTCCTTGATGTGCACAGCGATTCCAGCTGCGGCCTCAAACTCCAGCTAGCCATCCACGACGATCATCTGCCTCTCATCATCATCATCTGCTGATGCTCCCACTGAAGATAAGAAGCTGGAATACACTTTGGACGCGTTCACTATGTCCGTCACTACCAGCCAGGGGCTCTCGAAGTCCAGATGGCGATGAGCTCCCGGAGGAACTTGAGCATGCAGCTGAAGATCGAGAACATTTTCCCATTAGATGTCTCCCGCATCAAACGTTGATGTCTTTTAGTGACTCAAGAACAGTGTAAGGCATGGGCATTTTAGACACAATCGGCTGAAAAAGCGTCTTAACCTGCAAAGAAGTCCAATGAAACCAGTTCCAGTTAATAAGGAGATATTTTGTATCTCCCGAACTATTTTTTGCTGTATATCCTGATGAAAATGGCAGTAAGAGGTGTGAGAAAAATTCCAAGTTGAACTAACTCACAGTGAAACCCTGCCTCCCCCCCACCGCAATATAGACTGTAGTTCAAAGTTCGTTACTTGAGAACAAAGAGTGAAAACTAAGTCATGATGAGAACTCCCCAAATCTTATGAACCGCACAAATCTAACTTAATTTTTCACAGGCACTTTGCACAGGCATCTGCCTATCCTCACTCAAAAGTAGTCACTTTACTTTTAGACCACATTAGATCAAAAGTGCAAAAGATCAAAATGTTGAAACCATATTAGAAGTTAAAAAGTAAGGTTTATTACTAAATGATTAGGGTTTCTCTCAAACAGACATCATTTTTTGGCTAAATCACAACTGTGGGGGGCTTTAACAATAAAAGTACATATTTATATTTTTATATGTAGCCTTAGTTATTTATAATTATCAGAAAAACTACGATAATGTATGTAGTATTTGATTAAAAAATAATATTTTAAAATATTTTTACTAATTTATTAGTATATAATACTATGGAATATAATATTTGAAATTATTATATATATTTATAAATAATTATTAGGTTGATTGGATCTGGGTAGTAATATATTAATGTTCCTAAAAACTTATTGTTTTATATTTTGAGTAAAACTTATAATTAATTAATGTCTTGCAGTAATTATTCTCTTTTATTTGTTTTTTATTTTTTATTTGTCAATTTGTTTTCTAAATATATTCATATTTCCAAATAATAATTTGTATATAATATTTTTATGAATGAATATTTTATCTTATTTATGCCTAGGAATATATTTTGTCTAAATAGTTATATTATCAAGTGTACAAGAGTTTATTTTTTTTATTCATCTAGCATTTTCTAGGCATAATTCTCTCAATCAAAGTGGAATATAATATTTGTTGTTTAAATACTATTCTAATTTATTTTTTAATATATTAAAAAATAAAAAAAATATTTTGCTAATTACACAGCATATGCTGGGCAAGTGCTAGTATATTATAACCCAAAATCTTTTGATACCACACTTCCATCATAATGGCAACACATTTAACAAGAGATAGAATCTATTGTCAGAGTTTGGCTAACACCCAATGTCCAGATGACTTATATAATATTTAAATTTCAAATTAGCTAAAGTTTTTAATCTTTCCTGATGAGTCTTCTCTGACTGATCAGAGTGAATGTCCAACTTTTTGCAGCAATCCTTACAGCTCCTTCCACTAAGAAAGAATAACCTTTCTGGAAGAATAACTTTTGGACAACGAGAAAATGAATCAATTTATTCTGCACATGTTTAAAATCAATGTTAAAGATGTTAGTGCGTTCCTTTCTCATCAGATCTGTGGCCTCCAATTAGTGCTTCCCTTTCCATGGCCAGGATCATGCACTCCCTCTGATAATGAATTTTTTGAATCAATAGTGGTATAGTGGTTGTGATCTCGTGCGTTTTAAGAAACGCTCGATCATGGCTTCCTTCTCAAAAATATCCCTCTCTTTCCAGAAGAAGCTCGAGGATGGATCCCCATTCCCGCTGGTCCTTGTTCCGGCCCACGGTTCTCTCAAGGACTCGGGAGCGCTCGCCAGCGCGCTGCGAACTGAGGAGCAGCGATTGCGGCTGGAGGAGTGGCTACCCAAGAGTGGCGCGATTTTGCTGCGAGGATTCGAGGTATGGACAGCGCAGGAGCTTGACTCCATTATCGATGCGCTGGGATGGGAGGAGTACCCTTACTTGGAGATGGGTGGATCGACCAATCGAAAGCAAATGTTTGGGAAAGTTTTCACCTCCAATGACTTACCACGTCAATATAACATTGGCTACCACAACGAGGCAGCTTATGTAAGGTTTACTCGTTCTTTTCTCTTTTTTCTAGAGCGATTCGCTTTCTATTTCTTTGTTTCCTCTTCGTGTTCTAGCTCGAGAAACCACCGGCAAAGATCGCATTTTTTGCGGAGAAAGCTCCAGAGCCTGGAACTGGAGGTGCCACTCCAATTGTCCCAGGTCACGTCGTTTACAAGCGAGTTCTTGAGAAAACCCATCTAGCAAAGCAACTTCTCGACAAAGGCCGTCTTGTTTACCGCGCGTTTCTAGACGAGAACGCCTGGAAGTCGCGACTTTCAGCCGGGGACAAGCAATCCGCCGAGACCAAGTAAGAAACTTCCTTTCTTCGAGTTTTTTGGGCTCAAAACTCTCCTCTCGATGATCCAGCGCCGTGAAGAAGCAATTGGCTATAACCTGGCTTCCCGACGGAGGAATGATTCTCGACAGCAAACTACTGGGTCCCCTGTTCCGAAAGGATACTGCTGGAAGGATGGCATATTTCTCGAGCCTTGGGTTTTTCGTGGAGTTTCGTAAGACGCATAAGGATTCGCCAAGAACAGCGCTTGAGTTTGAAGATGGAACGCTGCTCGAAGATCAAGCTGGCGAAGAACTCGCGGAGATAATGCTGGAGGAAGAGGTGGCGTTTCCATGGGAGAAAGGTGACATTCTTCTGGTGGACAATTCTGCTGTGTTACACTCGAGGCAGAAGAGCACGTCTAAGGAGCGAGAAATTCTTGTTTCTCTTGCTCGATAAGTGTCATAAGCTTTTACTTTAAAGTTCTAGATCGTTCGAAAAGAATTTAAGAAAATAAAGAGCGATTACATTTTGTTTGCACATCTTTCAGAAAAGCTAAAACCTTTCAACGCAAACTTTTCGAACTATCTAGAACTTTAAAGTAAGAACTTATGCCACTCATTGAGCAAGAGAAACAAGAATTTCTCGCTCCTTAGACGTGCATTTCTGCCTCGAGTGCAGAACAGCAGAGTTGTCCACCAGAAGAATGTCACCTTTCTCCCATGGAAACGCCACCTCTTCCTCCAGCATTATCTCCACCAGTTCGTCGGCGGTTTCATCACGGAGCACCGTTCCATCCTCAAACCTGATCGTCGACTTCGGAAAGTCCTCCTGCATCTTGCGGAACTCTACGTACGATCCGATGCTGGTGAAGATCGCCATCCTTCCAGCACTATCTTCTTTAAACAATGGCTGCAAGGGCTTGCTCTCGAGAATCGCACCGCCTTCGGGGAGCCAAGTTAGAGTCATGTTCTGCTTCATGGCTCTAGAACAAGAAAGTCAGACCTCGCAGGACATTAAAGTATCGCAATCTTGTGGAAAGTTGAGAAAGAATTCGCTTGCCTGGTCTCGACGGTTTGCCTGTCCTGGGTTCTCAAAGCTTTGTCGCTGAGATAGGAGCGAGTTACAACAGGGCCTTTGTCGAGAAGTTGCTCGGCCAAGTGTTTTCTCTCAAGAACTCGCTTGTACACGACGTGCCCTGGAACGATCGGAGTGGCTCCTCCAGTCCCAGGCTCCGGAGGCTTCGCAGCGAAAAATGCCAGCTTTGAAGGGAATTTCGTGAGCTAAGAACACAAACAAAGCGCTCTTTGAGATTCAAGAACAAACAAAGAGATGAACTAGCTTACGTAGGCTGCCTCGTTGTGGTAACCAACGTACCAATCCAGGGGAAGATCATTAGCGGTGAGAACCTTTCCATGGACCCTCTTTCGATTGGCCAGTCCACCGAGCTCCAAGTAGTTGTACTCCTCCCATCCCAGGGCATCGATGATCGAATCAAACTCCTGCCCCGTCCATACGTCGAATCCTCGCAGCAAAATCGCGCCGCTCCTGATCAGCCACTCATCCAGCTGCGATCGCTGCTCCTGGATTCGCAGGGCGCTGGCGAGAGCTCCAGCGCCCTTGGGCGATCCTTTCGCCGGCGTTAGAACCAGTGGAAATGGCGATCCATTGTCGAGCTCCTTTTGGAAAGGAAGATATGATTGCAAGTACATCGCTGACAGTAGCGAGTGAGCCATTATTTAGGGCCACACAAATGGAGCGTTTTCATTGGCGGGAGGTTTGGCGCCAAGTTTAAATTGCTTCTTGAGCCCTAGCGGCGGTGGGCCGGTGGCTATGGCTGATCCAAGAATGTCCGACTATGCGCGCAAGAGGGCCGAGAACATGGCGAGGAACGCCGAGAAGCTCGCGGAGCTGGGGATCCATGAGGCGGCCAAGTTTCTCCAGATTCCAATCAGGTTCTTTCGTCTTACCCTAGTTCTCTAGCCGATGAGTGGAGATTTAGAAATTTTCCTCCAGCGATCGCAATGCTGTCGTGTAGTTTTCTTGAATCCTTGTGCTTTGGTCTTTTCTGCGGCATTTGTGTTGTTTGTTTGAGAGTTTCATTCTTTTGTTTCCAAAAGATAGCGAAAGCAAAAAAATGATATTTTCTTTTTGGATTCTATATTCACGCGACGCATGGGGAGCATTTTCTTGAATCCTTGTGCTTTGATCTCTTCTGCCGCATTTGTTTTGTTCGTTTGAGATCTCATTTTTTGTTTCCAAAAGATAGCTAAAGTAAAAAAGAGGATTTCTTCTTTTTTGATTCCATATTCACTCCACGAGCATTTCTTGCTTGTCTGCCGCATTTGTGTTGTTTGTTTAAGATTTTCTTCCAAAAGACAGGATTTTTTTTCTTGTTTGATTCTATATTCACTCGACGCATTCTGTTTCCAGGGAGCAGCAAAAGAGAAAACCCAAAGGGTATAAATCTGAGAAGAGGCCCAGAGATGAACAGCCGCTTGTAATTCGGAGGTCACTGCGTACTCGAGGAATCTCTCCAGAGGTCGGGCCTCTCAAGGACGAACTTTCCGATGCCAAAGTGGTGCCAGAGCCAGAGAAGCTTGACAAACTTAACTGGGAGAAGCCTGTTTCCTTCTCTGACGTTCGTGTCAACGACGAGCCCTCAGATGATTCAGTGCGTGCTCGCATTGGCGAGGCAGTAAAAGGCGAGTGTTTGGTAAACTCGGAGGACCAGCGACCAAAGGACGACTTTGAGCCGCTATCTTTGAAACTCGCTGAGAAGGACGTCGTGAGGATTGTGCCGGAGAAAATTCTCAGCCTGATTCTCCTTCCTCTGAGTTCAAAGCTGGTGGTGGCTGCCGGGGACAGAGCGGGAAATATCGGCCTCTGGGATGCTGATTACAACGACGAGAGTGACGAAAGTGTTGTCCACATTTATCGGCCTCACAGGATACCTGTTACAGCAATAGCAAGCGCACCTGCGAGCTTTACACAGGTGAGTTATGGAATACATTATTTTACTTTCCTTTTTTATTTCTAACAGCGCCTTTGCCTTTGTAGATTGCGACTTGCAGCTGTGATGGTTCTGTCCTCCTCATGGACATTGACAAAGCGGCTTTCAGCAGAGTGTTTTTATCTGACGAGTCCTTAAGTGCCATGAGCTATCTCGCAGAGAGCACGCACGTTATTTCCATTGGTGACTACGAAGGAGATATGAAACTAGTGGATGCAAGAAGCTCCACGGTAGCGTCACACTGGAAGCTGCACGAGAGACGCATTCACTCCATAGACTCTACGCCGCAGCGGCCTCACCAGGTTGCTACAAGTTCCGGAGATGGAACAGTCTCCCTGTGGGACGTCCGCGTCACAAAGAGGAACCTGGCAACCATGACCCACGGAAAAGCCGTGCACTCGGCATACTTCTCACCATCGGGAGATCAACTGGCTTCGACCAGGTAAATACTCAAAACGTTTTAAAGTTGCCTTTATGGCTGAGTTACTCGATCCCCGCAGTTATGACGATCACGTAGGCCTCTGGAGTGGAAAGCACAATAACGATCCCGTCATGATCAGCCACAACAATCAGACAAACCGCTGGATTGCGACGTTCAGGTGGGAAACCTTTTGAGTAAAAATCTCGAAATGCGGATTTAAATTGCGTTGCAGGGCAATTTGGAGCTGGAGTGACAACTACGTCTACATTGCAAACATGAGCAGAGCCATCGATGTGATATCCACTCGCGAGAACAAACTGGTTGCATCGCTTCGAAGCGAGGAAATGACTTCCATACCCTCGAGACTGGCACGGCATCCTCTTTTACCTGGAGTTCTGGCCGGTGGCACTGCCGGTGGCAAAATCTTTCTGTGGAGAAGTTAATCGTGTTCAATCAACACTGACTCCTTTTTTTACATTTTTTCTCGCTCAGCCAACTTAATCAGATAAGGAGAAGAATGGCAGGGTCCCAAATGGGAAAACTCGACTCGGGAGGCAACACGTGGAGAGCCGGGACATAAGTATAATTTTTTGAGGGTTCCTTGGCTTGGCAGTGTGGAGGCTTCGCTTTCTTTCCTTGAGGTACATGTCCGTTTAGCTGTTCTTGATGATTCCTTCTTTATTTTCTTGATAGCAAAGCTATGGATCCTTACAAGGTATTAGTTCTCCTTTTTTTTTTTCTTTTTTTTTCCCCCCCACGTTTAGTGCTCTGATCTTCTTCGTCTTTCCAGCACACTCCATCAAGCGCTTTCAATTCTTCTTTTTTCACCACAAACTCTGGCACTCCCGTCTGGAACAACAATTCCTCTTTGACAGTTGGGTCACGAGGTACGTTATGATAGTGTTCGTTCTTTCTTGTAAGCGTTTAATTTTTTTTTTTCTCAACGATCTCTCACATGGTGTTTTATCAGGGCCTATTCTGCTGGAAGATTATCACTTGATCGAGAAGCTTGCTCAGTTTGACAGGGAACGCATTCCCGAGCGCGTCGTCCATGCGCGTGGAGCAAGTGCAAAGGGTTACTTTGAAGTCACCCACGACATCTCAAACCTCACCTGCGCGGATTTCCTGCGTGCACCTGGAGTCCAGACACCGCTGATTGTGAGGTTCTCCACCGTCATTCACGAACGTGGAAGCCCCGAGACACTCCGTGATCCCAGAGGCTTTGCCGTCAAGTTCTACACGCGGGAGGTGAGTAAACTATCTGGTCATGTTGCTAAGTTGGACACGAAATTCCATCTTTGACTTTTTTCGCTTTGTTTGCGAGCAGGGAAACTTCGATCTGGTTGGAAACAACATTCCCGTGTTCTTCGTACGTGATGGCATCAAGTTCCCTGACATGATCCACGCTCTCAAGCCAAACCCAAAGACGCATGTTCAAGAGCCTTGGCGCATTATGGACCACTTCTCGCATCATCCGGAGAGCTGTCACATGTTTACTTTTCTCTTCGACGACCACGGAATTCCTCTCAATTACCGTCACATGGAAGGCTTCGGGGTACACACGTTCACTCTGGTCAATCGCGCCGGCAAGTGTACGTATGTCAAGTTCCACTGGAAGCCAACTTGCGGACTAAAGTATCTGAGCAAGCAAGAGGCTGTGGTCGTCGGCGGCTCTAATCACAGCCATGCGACCAAGGATCTCTACGACTCCATCGCGGCCGGGAACTATCCAGAGTGGAAGCTGTTCATTCAGACTATGAACCCCTCCAACGAGGAGATGTTCGACTTTGATCCGCTCGACGTTACGAAGACTTGGCCGGAGGAAATGTTCCCGCTCCAACCGGTTGGCCGCATGGTGCTCAACAAAAACATTGACAACTTCTTCGCTGAGAACGAGCAGCTTGCATTTTGTCCGGCGCTCATCGTCCCTGGCGTCTACTATACCGACGACAAGATGCTCCAGACTAGAATCTTCTCATACGCCGACACGCAGCGGCACCGACTTGGACCGAACTATCTCATGCTGCCTGCAAATGCACCCAAGTGCGCACATCACAATAATCATCACGAAGGCTTTATGAACTTCATGCACAGGGATGAGGAGGTATGGTGGTGGAATGTTCTCCAGTTTTTTCTTTGTTTGAGCTTTTTTTAATGATTTGTACTCGTTCTGTCTTTTTGATTTTTCTAACCACTCGTCGTGAACTGTCAAACACAGGTGAACTATTTTCCATCACGATTCGACGCAGTTCGCCACGCCGAGCAAGTCCCGATTCCCTCACGTCCTGTGAGTGGCCGCCGAGAAAAGGTAGAGAAAAGCTTTGGCTTGTTTAAGCCTGGATGCCAGCTTCAAAGTCTTGACCGGTGCGTGCACAGGTGATGCTGGAAAAGGAGAACAATTTCGCACAACCTGGCGTGAGGTACAGATCATGGCCAGCTGACAGGTGAGCGAGCAATGTCGTGCAAAAACTTCTGCCCATGTTTTTCTTCCAATTTTTTTTTTTTTTTTTAATTTCTCTCGCTCTCCCTCTCTCTCTTCTTTCTCTATTTCTCTCTCTCACTCGCTTGAGGATCTGGTGGTCGTGCAAAGCAAAGTTTCCTAACTTTTGTGTTACACTGACTGTCTTTGCTTGGCAGGCAAGAGAGGTTCATTGAGAATTGGGTGGACGCTCTATCCGATTCACGCGTTACTCATGAAATACGCAGCGTGTGGATTTCGTATTGGTCCCAGGTACGTAGCTTGTCTTTCTATTCTTTCTTTTTTATCCTTCGACCGTCTCGATAGTGCACGGCATGCTAATTGTCTTTCTGCTTAACGCGTGCAGTGCGATAAGTCCCTCGGCCAGCGAATCGCGGCTCAACTTCAGTCCAAATCCAACATGTGATTCAGCCTGGGTTGGAGGTTTGTGGCTTTTGTTTCCAGTTTTTCTTTCCTTTTCGTGCAAGTAGCTCGCGCTGTTGTCTCTTGTGATATGATATATCTTTAATCTTTGCTAGCTTTTTTTCCAAAAGGCTTCCAAGTCAAGGCGATTGAATTGAGCCCCAGCAGCCTGCCAGAAGAGAGAACGCAAAGTATATTTAAGAGTGTGAAAGCTTTGAACGTTTTCTTCCTTTTTTTCCTTCTTGGTCAGGGACTGATGAGCCACCTTTCTTTGTGGAATCAAATCAGATGTTGATTCCTGTGTGCCGGAAAGATGTGTTGCAACAAATCTAAAGAAAAGGAAAAAAATGTTTGTGAAGATCAATCTCTACCAAACTATGCTGTGCTCGTACGCGCAACCAGTGGTGATAAAAAAACACACTTCGAAAAATATGAGAGATGAAATTATGCAGTGCTGGCCTACCCAACTGTTCGTTCTCCTGTCCACAAAATCTCCGATTTTTCTCTTTTCCGACATTTTAAATCGCGGGAATATCCTGCGGCATAATCATTCCGTACAAGAGACTTCCCACCAAGAAACGAATGAATGAATGAAAACGAATGACACAAAAGATCCCAAAACTGGCCTAACACTCTCTCACTTTCTCCTCCAATAAGAGAACTAAAAACTCTAGAAAACTACTAAGATCTCTCCAGCTCTAAAGAAACAAAGAAACAAAGAGATACCTTGCAAAGAAGCAAACTCGCTCGCTCTCAAAATCGTCGGCCTTCTTCCTCTTCGTCATCATCCGTAGTCGTGGTAGCAGTCGCGGTAACAGTCGCGGTACCAGTCGTGGTAGCGGTCGCGGTTGGCTCCCTTTGGCGGCGCATCTCCAGCACCTTCTTGTGAGAATTGGAGTGCTTTTGCGGCACGAAGCTCGGGCTCGCCGCCGGCCTATACTCCGGGAACAATCTCCCGGACTTAAACCTCACGCCACAAGCATTGCACAGCGTCTTTGGTCCCAGTGGCCCCGTCCTCCACTGCGGGGTCTTCTGGCTCCCACAGTGGAGGCACTTTTGGAGTGGCTGATTGGGATCCGGAAGGCCCCTCTTGGCCGCCGCGCTCCCGCCGCCACCCCCTCCAAAGTTCTTGGAAGTGCCGGTAATGCCACTGTTCTTGCCCGAGGTGGTGGCGGCGCTGTTGCTGTTGTTGGTCTTGGACTTCTTCTTTGGCGGGCGGCGCGAGTTCTTGAGCTCCAGCTCGTAGTCGTCGTCGTGGAGGCTGTAGAAGCGGCCGCTGTCCGCCGAGAAGGACGAGGAGCAGCAGTGGATCTTCTTCCGGTTGTTGCTCGTCGTCGTCTCGTCGTCCAGCAGCGACGACGAGCCATCGAGCTCATCGTCGGTGGAGAAGTTTGAGTTGTTGTCATCGTCCTCCTCCTCCTCCTCCTCTTCTTCCTCCTCTTCCTCCTCCTCCTCCTCATCCTCGCTCGCCGTGGTACAATTCGAGCTGCTTGGAGCTCGAGGAGGCACCGAGGACGTGGTCGTCGCCCAAGCCTTAGTCCTCGATCGCTTGGAGCGAGGCTGACGATCCTGCTGCTGCTCAAGGTGGCGGCGGTGGTGCGCAATCCCGGCGTTATAAGAAGCTTTGTTGTGATCATCGGTGATCCAAGACGCGGTGGTGGAGCTCGACTCGAGCTGCGCCGGCTCGGACGAGGCCGGGATCACGTAAGAACTGTGGTGGTGGTGGTCGCGCAGCGAGCTCTTGAACGGATAAGTGGACGCCGGCGATGGCGAGAACTTGGCCTCCTCCGCGGCGGCGGCGTGGACCGCGTCCTCGATCGACGACGAGTCGTCCACGAAGTTCGTGAGCCATCCAAGCTCCGGGATCTCGTCACACTGGAAGAACAAGAAATTAAGTTAGCTTTCGTATTTTATCATAGCAGCAAAAAAAACAAGGAAAAAAAAAATGCTTATAAAGAAAAAACTCCAGGAGAAAAAAGAAAGAAGAAAAGTGGAAAGAGTGAAGGCATGGCATGGCTTCAACAAGAGCAATAAATTTCGGCCAGGAGAGGTGGCCTTAAATGGCTCCAGTAACGAAAGATGTCATGTATGTTACACCACTCTCTCACACTCACACACAAACTCTCTCACACTACTCACACCACTCCCTTGTTATATCGCACACAAACAGTCAAGCAAGCACACCATTTCTCTCTCTCGCTCTCTTTTTCCACTCCCGGTCCAGAGAACCAATCTGGATAGGAGCAAAACGAATGAAACGAAACGCCACCACCAAGAACACCACCAGAAACGAAGAAGAGAAGACCACGATTCACGAACAAGCCAAAGCGAAACCAAACGAGCGAGTGGTGTGAGTGAGTGAGTGAGTGAATGAGTGAGTGACCCGGGAATTGAATGAATGGGGAGCGCGCAACGAGTGAGCAAATGAATGAAAAGGAGCGAGCGATGGAGATGGAGCTGGCCGAGAGAGAAAAGAGGAAGAAAAGCAAGAAAAAAAAGGAGACTTACATGCATGCCGATGAGCTCCAGCTCCTCCTTGCTCCCGACGTCCAAGTCCGCGATTTCTAATTCCCCCGGATCGAGCTCCTCCTCGTCCTCCTCCTTGTGCTGCCGATCGCCTCCTTCCTCCGCCGCCGCCGCCGCGGCATTGACCAGACCATCCTCTTCTTCATCGCCTTCTTCCACCTTGGCGATGGTGGCGGAGCTTTTGGCGATGGCGGCCGAGGAAGTGGTAACAGTGGAAGCGTTCTTGCTGCTGCTAAAGTTGGCAATGGGGCCGGAAATCTCCTCGTTGGTGAAGTCGAGGAGATCGTCCACGCGGAAAACCTCCACCCCGAGCTTGAAGCTACAGTCGAGATCGATGAAATTGGCGTGCCTGCTGCTCAGTACCTCCATTTACCTCCAAAGCTGCGCTATGGCGACCGCGATAAACCCCGCAAAACCCGAGCGCCGCGCGCTCTCGCCCACCGCTAGCGCTCCTTTCCTCTCTCGAATTCCCAGGCGCCCAATTCGGCAAGGAATTGGGCGATGGAATTCGCTCACACGGAAGAAACCTTGTTAGGTAAGGAAGAAGAAGTTCTCGCTAGAGCTCTCTCTCTCTCTCTCTCACACACACACACACACGGTCACTCACGCTCGACTTGTTTCGATCAAGAGGACACGGCGATGGGAGACGATCGAGGCGAAGAGTCACTCCACCACGGCATAGAAGTTTTCAGCGACTGGCTTTGACGAAGTCGCGCGTCCCAGCGCGTGGTGGTGGTGGCGGTGGTGGTAGTGGTGGTGACGATGAGAGAAGAGAGAGAAGAGAAGGACGAAGGGGAATATCTCCTCGATCGATTGGTGGGCGATGGCCTGCGGCTGGAATTCGCAGCTGGGCACAGGAATGCAGCTCATCCAATCCAAGAGGCGCCGAATCGAGAGCCGCCCACAAGGCGAGGCGCCCGAATTGGAGCCGCCCACAACAGTGGCTCCTCGCAAATCGATGGAATCGATTGGCAAGTATAGCGAGGGAGGAAAAGAATATAAGAAGGGAGAGACCCAATGAAGCGAGCTCGAGCAGCAAGCTGACAAGTAGCTCCCGGACAACGCTAATCTCCTCCCAAAACCCCCAAAAACCACTTCTTCTTTCTTCTTCTTCTTCTTCTTCTTCTTCTTTCTTCTCTACGCTTTGTTGGTTCTCTTGCTCCTCTCGATTGATCGATTCCTCCTTTCTGTGAGCTTAAAGCTCACGCTTCCTCCACAAAGATGATAGAAACAAAGGAAAGAAAGAAAGCTCTTTCTACTCTCGCCTCTCCTCCTCCATTCTCTCCCTTGTGTGATTTTAGGGAAAAAAAAAGCTTTGGGCACCACTACTACACTACCACCACTGACACAAAGAAGCTGTTACGCTTATTAGCTACACTCTAGCCTGGAGAGCGAGAAAAAAAAAGCACTAAAGCTTTTTTTTGGAATTTTTTTGGTGAGATTTTTAAACTACTTAACGCTAGCTTGATCGATCATTCGCCGCTAAGAACCTCTCGCCTTCTCTCCAAAAATTCTTTCTTTGCTTGATTTTTTCGTCCATTTCTCCGCGGTGATCCTGTAACTGTTTAGCATAACAGCCCAACAATTCTTCCTTCTAAGGCATGACAGGTGGGAACAGAGATCTTGTTATGTTAGCGCAAAACTTAAAAGAATTCCTCCATTTTTCTTTAATCCTCTTTCTTTTCTATTTTCCTGGCTTTATTTTCCCACTTTTTAAATTTTTTTCCTTTTGTTTCTTTTAGAGCCAACGTGGTCTGGCGCGCAGTGCCAGCCACTTTCTCGCTTCCAGCCGACGGAGATTCCCGCGTCTCCGGATCCCCGACACGTGGAAGATCCGACGGTGGGGATGCCGGCACCGCCGTGTCGGCCGGTCGGACAGCCGGCCCAACGTGCCGCGAACGTGACTGACCACCACCGCACACCGCCGCCGCACCGCGCGGTGGACATTCCGGGGCGGAATGTGGCCGGGCATCAGAATGTCCGGGAGTGTGGCTTTTACTTGTTTTTTTTTTTTGTGTGTGTGTTTTTTTCTAACATTTTACTATAAGAAGTTAGGTGCTCGACAGCCATCCCATGACAAGTAGCGTTGCTCCATCCATTTGCTGGCTGGCTGGCGGGGCGGGTCTGGCTTAGTAAAAATAAAAGATGCCGCCAGGGATGCCTTAAAATTCCCGGAACCTCCTCCTTTTCAGTGGAGAAACCACTGGAGGAGACATTTCAGAGCGTTTGGTCGAAGAACACAACTTTCCAAAGTCTCGACTTGCGACTTCCCACCGCCAATTTTCCAGAATCTCTCTCTCTCTCTCTCTCTCTCTCTCTCATACGTACTTGAGACCTTGAGCGTATTGTTGCGTGATAATTTTGACGTTCCAACGGTGGCCAACCCTTGAAAACACTTCGAAACCCTCTCTCTCGGTATATATCAATCGAATCTCTCGAACTTCCATTGGTCTAGAAAAGAAACCACAAACTCAACACACGCTGCTAAACGACATGGCACGGTGGGTAACAACTCTTGGGTTGTGACAACTTAACACGTTTTGATGCTTTACGGAGCTTTTAAATCTTTTCTAATGTTTACCAGCCGCTAAGTTTCAAAGCTTTGCTCATACGCTGACACAATAATAGGTGAATTCCTAGTTTTATCTCTTTACAAAGCCAAAGATTGCCAAAGTTTGTTCAGCAATGCTCAGTACTGCCAGAGAGGAGCAAAAAAACTTTATGAGAGTCGCTGCATTTGCATCCCACACCACATAGCATAGGGGGGCAGTAGAAACAAGCATGGTAGGAAACAAAAGAAATTTAAGAAAAGGTGGCCGATGTTGTGTGAAGAACGATCATTCCGTACAAGAGAGAACTGCAAGTCACTCATTGACACCACAAGGATTAGGATTTGATAAGTTGGGGGGGGGGGGGGGTTGCTCTGATCCTGCAATTTGGTCTACTAAACTCTGCAATATCTACTTGCTTGCAATTTACAAAAGGCAGGTGAGTTTTCTAACCTGAGGCCTGAAGGAGAATCAAAGTGTGCACATGCAGGGGCATCAAATCAGACCTCATGTTCTTGGCACAAAAGTTGACTTTAAACCACATGGCAAATGCAAGGTGGGTGCAAGCCTAAATGAAGTGAATCTCTTATAAAATTACGCCCCCAGCGGTAAAAAAGAAACAACTTTGGTCTGATCTCGAAGTCAGTAGTCCATCTGATCCAAGATCAATGTACGCTCTCCTCAGGATTTCCATTTGACTTTATATTATTAATTAGTAATATACGAAAAAGAAAAAGTTATTATTATCTTTTAAAACTTAGTAAGTGTCAAAAATTTAAAAATTTTAGGTGTAAATTTAAATTATTAGTTAATGATAGAAACTACCAAGGACATGCGCGCCAGGCAGGGATCGAACCTGCGACTTTCTGCTTAGGAAACAGACGCTCTATCCGCTGAGCTACAGGCGCTAAGCTGCGGAATTAAAAAAGCTTAATTTGCTAAGTAACGAGTGAAAATCCTAGCGGATTGATGGATTGATGGAGGCTATGGCGGAGACGAAATGCATCAATGCGCCGCCGAGAATGCGCAGGTGAGGCAAATGCTCGGCGAAAAGATGCGATTTTTAAAACTTCTTTTTTTCAGGTATGCTGTGGCTGGAGCAGGATTTGCTGGTGTTTCCGTGGCCTGGCATCTCTTACAGGTTCTTTTTCTCGGCAATGATCGTTGATCGGTCACGCGTTTCCTTAGAGGTTTTCTTTTTGGTTTTTACTTTCGCGCAGTTCACGAATCCATCCGTGTCAGTCAGTGTTGAGCTCTTTGATGAGAGAGGCATTGCCGCTGGAGCGTCCGGTGCGTCCGGAGGATTGCTCCATCCGTTTTCTCCAACAGGTTTGATAGTTTCTTTCGTGTGTTTTTTCCTGAAGATTTGCTGCTCTCTTGCCAGGAAAATTACTCTGGAAAGGTGCCGAAGGATTTCGAGCATCGCTGGATTTGGTGGCTGTTGCCGAGTCGATGGTCCCAGAAGACGATGAGCCAATCTCATGGAAAAGGTTAGAACAATTTTTTCTTTGTTCGTATGAAACTTCTCTGAAAGTTTGTGCGTCTATAGGGGGATCTTAAGACCTGCTCTTTGCGAGAAGCACACCCGGAACTTCCGAAAGGTTGGCTAAAGTTCCTCAAGTTTTTTTTTTCTTTTCTATCGCTTGTTTTCACTAGAATGTGGATTGCAGCAATGGTAGCGCTGGAGCGCCAAGAATTCTCACCGCAAGAGAGGCCAGAGAACTACTTCCAGGGCTTTCCATGCAAGACGATCTCCTTGCGTTGCACATCCGCGCGGGAATCAACGTCGATCCAAAGCGCTACCTGGAAGTAAGTTATCTTCGTTTCTCCTTAGAACTACAGAGCAAAGTTTCGAATCTCACAGGCACTGTGGAAAGCATGCCTCTCGTTCGCAAACTCCGCGCGAGTGTCAGGCTGCCCTGGAACGAAAGCATCACTTCACAAGCGTCGCATCGCCAGTATCTGCGATCTCTCAGGTAGGAAGTAACAGTAGCTTCGGTCGATTCTAACAGGAACATCTCTTTTTTCTCGAAGATTACGACGCTGTGGTACTTTGCCTGGGCGCTCAAGCTCTATTGTTACCAGAACTCCAGGGAAAGTTACCACTTACACCGTGCCGTGGAGTCGTAGCAAAAATGGAGCTGCCAGAGAAAAGGAGGTGAAAAAAAAAGCACTTTTTTCTCGTCGACCATACTGAAGAACACCTTTGCTTTGTCAGTGAACAGTTCAATGGCACGGCACCTAGTGTTTTGTCCCGATCATGGTTGGCATTCCAGGGAAAGAGAAGGCTGCTGCTTGGAGCCACGAAAGAGGCCTTCATCTCGCCATCGCCAAGAGCACAAGATTTGTCAGCCCTGGAAGAGCTTTACCAGAAAGCCAGGCAGCTTTATCCCGGCATCTCACAGTGGGAAGTAACTGGCCTGCGAGAAGGCGTCCGAGCGTTGCCACCGCGATATGGTGATCTGGGAGCGATCCCTTTGGTTGGAAGCCTGGATGGTGATGTGAGAACTTTGGAGTCACCAGTAAGGAATGGCAAATGCCGGCCTCCTCGCTTGTGGATTTTTGGAGGGCTTGGTTCCAGGGGCCTGGTATACCACGCGTGGCTGGGAAGCAAAGTCGCCCAGGCCGTGGTTCTCGAGAACCAAGAGGTTCTTCCGCAAGAAGCGCGCCAGTGGAAAAACCTCACGTAAAGGGTTTAAAGAAATTTTAAAAGTATACCAAGGGTTTAGGGTTTATGGAGGCTGATGAGTTTGAGTGCTTCACATTAGACGATCCCTCACCGCCAAGATCGTGGATTTCATTGACGTCAAAGTGCCAATCCTGGTGGAATGTATTTTCGGCGATCCCCCAGAGGAAACTACATTCTTGGATGAAGTGGGATTTCACGGGAAAATCTACAAGCGTGTTCGCGGCCGCCAAGTTCTTGTCCACTTGCAACGCGGCCGAGAAGCCAGTGACAAGGCGCATTGCGTTTGTGAATACTGCTCGAGCGATGGCAAACCCGGAGAGGGCTGTAATCGCGGCTATCCAAGCAGCCTGTGATCGCGATGGGGATTCCGAGGAGCTGGCTCTTCTCAAGTCTTGGACTCGTTTCTACGAGAGTCTCGTCTGCGGTATATATTATGTGGTGGACGATGGCGAGAAAATCTCCGCTTCAAGCGACACTGCGTATTTCCTGGCCAGTTTGGTGCCTACATGCGCGCTTGTTTACTGCGCTTAGCGACTGGATGAACGTAATCCGGCATCATAAAATTCAGAACTTCATGATCGCTCAAGGTATGTGTGTGATTTAGTTCTCATGCAAGGTATGATCGAGCTCTCTTTCTAGAATGAGGAGCTGAATGCGTTTTGTAAATTATTCAAGATCGACTTGACGAAGGTCGACTTATCTAGGCCTGGGACAAATCCGAAGTTGCTACTCTTGTACAACGTTGGAGGCCGAGGTTACCAAGTTTTTGGCTAGAAACCTCTCAAACACGAGCACCGGAAACGACAGTCTAGTCGAAGATCTAGCAGGGGTGAGAAAGCTCCTACCATTTAACCATGTTGTGGACAGCAAGTATTTGTGTGTCGGTGAGGATGGTAACGCTGGAATGCATCACGGACGAGCTGCGGTCGTTCTGCTCCAAACAGTTGGCGGCTGTGATAGAGGACCATGACGTTGATCGAGCACACGACCTCCTCGCGGAGGTGGCCGAGGATCACAACATGATACGAATCGGCTGGAATGCGGAGGTGGCCGTGCTTGTAGCGCTCAAGTTAAAAAAACTCGACATCCGCTATGGGAGTGGTCTCAGCGTGAGGGCCGGGGTGCCTTCGTTTTAGCTTTTCCGGGGAGAGATCTCGGCCCGTTTGCCGTCTAGAGGCACGCAACCACGCGTGTACGTACCGCGATCGTAGCGTTCCAGGTCTTGGTTGCTCGGAATGGAGAGTGACGTCACCATGGGACGCTTGAGAAGGCGGAAGCATTGTTTCGAGCTGCAGGCAAGAAGCTCAAGATCCTCGTGTATGTCATGCCGTGTTGCAAGTTTACGTCTCACCTGATGGAGTCTGTGCAGTACGATGGTCTGAGCTACTACTGCGTGACGATGTCATTTGGCGAGCTGAGTAGCACGCTGCGAGTGATAGACAACACGCTGGCCAAGATCACAGGCTTTTCGATTCGTCAGGTACACCAGTTCTAGAGTTTTGAGACGAGTTTTACGATTGTTCTTGCAGAAGAGCGATGCGTGCTGCTGTTGCGAGGAGGAAGGTTATAGTGACTGGGTCCAGTGCGATGTTGCTTGCTATGGTACCACTGGAGCTGTGTCAAGCATGATTCCAGTTGCATCTTGCTGGCAATCCAAGGCGGCTTCCACGTCCAGTGACACGAGAGTTCGAGTGCTACAAGAGTCTTGATCTTTGACGTTCCGGTTGGGCTTTCCGCGTGAAGAAGTCCTTGCAAGAGTAAAGGCGTCAACGATCAGGACTTGGAACCTCCAAGATCAAGAACCATACTTATCAGTGGCCACCAAGAGGTTCATGGAGACTTTCTCTGCTGCTCCAAACCTTTGAAGTATATCAGTAACGAGCAAGTGGAACGTCAAAGATCAAGAATTGCCGATTGACTAACTAGTATGCCATGTTTTATGTGTAATTTACCTACCTTCACTTTTTCAGAAAAATGACCCTAGTCTGCTGCTCAATCCTAGAAAAACGTTTCGAATCTCACTTCAGCGCTACGCCAGTAATGTCCGAGCACGGATGATCTTTGAGTAGCATGCCGCGCGGTACACCTATATGCCGAGTCATCTGGCGGCAATTCTCTTTTGCTTTTAAGAGCAAAAGAGTACGAAATGTAGTCCAACACAATTTATAAATAGTAATTACTGATTAAAGGGTTTTTTAAACCGGATTAAAGGGTTTCATTTCTATTATGAAGTTTATGAAAGCTCACCTGGATTTGGAGCTCGTGGAGAGATTGACGGGTGGCATGCCGGGCTTGCTGCGATTCTACGAAGAGGCCAAGAGCAACGAGGAGGCTTTCATCGAGAGGATCAGAGGTGCTTACACAAGCTCTACAGCAAATTTATCACGAAGATTGAGAATCGGAAAGAACTTTCAGCTAGAATGGCTTTGGTGGTCTCGGTGGTCACGAGTTCACGCAAGAGAAGGCTAGCATGAAACTCTTCTGGTATGACGAGGAGCGGCGGCTATTCCATATCCTCTGCCCGTATCTGCGATCGCAAGGCGAGCTCTACATCATGGAGCACTTCGAGAAGTTATAAAGCGGGCTGGAGTTTCCAGATATCCAGAGATGGGCCGGAGCTGTCCGGCTCGACTGCGAGCGTGACCGGGGGACCGATAAGCTGATCGGATGGAACGTAGAGGAGCTGGTCATAAGCATGGTACGCTTCCACAAGCGGCTTCTCGGCGACGATCTCAAGCATTACCGCACACGGGCATGAGAGGATGTGGTTGCAAGTCTCAACGCTCAGCAGCTCTTCGAGGGCGTTCTTCTCGGCCCTGCGTCTTTGAGTGAAGGCAGCACTGGATCTTGTCCTGCTCAAGCTCGAGGAAGATGGCACGCTGAGGATTCTGGCGGTGGAGAACGCAGTCGCTGGCTGGAAGAGAAAACGGAGAATTGGAAGAACGAAGTGCTTTCAAAATGGATTCTTTATTATGTGATGCCAAAGAGCATTATGCTTTACATAGTGGCAAATATGCCTTTTTCAGGAAATTCAGGGACATACATCCGTGCCTCCAAGAGTTTGACGTTTGGCCTCAGTTGGATTATGTGATGCAATGGGATCACTCAGCAGTACAAAATTGAAACGTGATACAATTGGAGGGAATCAACCATGAGATCGGGAATCAACTGTGCAAAATCAAATCTAGAAAATACTAACCCACCACGGAGATTTGATCGTTCTTTGATTATTTATTTTGACCTTTTAGGGCTACCTGTTGACCCTTGAAATTCTAGCGTATACATTGAAAGCATAATTCATGGTTTGGAGCTTTACAATGTCCGCGCTACTTTACATTCCGGAGCCAGGGATGAGTGGGATGTCTATCAGTTTCTCAAGGATCTCAAGACCAGTGACAAGGAACTGGTGGAGTGCGCACAGCAAGACTTGCGCGAAGCTCAGTGCTTCCACGAGCTCTATGAGTATATCTGGGGGTGGGAAGACTGGCTTCCCGAAGCATCTGATTCCCTTCATCTGTATTTGTCGGTCACACTTCCCCGAGAGAGTTTAGCATAGAATGAACATCTTCTCCAGCGAGAGCTTCTTCTAAAAGATTGAAAGGAAAGAAAGGTATTAATGGATGAAGAATTTTTGTGAGCTACTACTATTCGCAAAAACTTACATGGTAAGTTACTTTGTGACCATATCTATGTCAAGAAGCGACCAGGGTGAAGCTCAGGTTGGCAACAAATCATCTTCCACTTGGTCGACAGCAATTCTTTTTTCATCAATATCGCGAGCCATAACAGATTCAAGGTTTGTTCTTTCTCATATGATATACAGCGATTCTTGACATTTCGCCAGCAGCAGAATCGCTTTGGCGGCAAGTGTTGGAGAAGAGAATGTAGAAGTAGCAATCCAGTCGTGTTTCGGGAGATAGGGCATGCTCGCGATCAAGTTCTCGGCGTCTACCAATCGCCTCCACTAGATGCCCTTTTTGGGCATTTCCGTCCGGCATGTGTGATCTCTCTCCGGCATCGAATCGAAGATAGGTTTTGTCTGGTAGAAATCGCTTGTCTGTGCGACAGCCGACACCATTGTTGTCCAGGATTTATAAGGTTCTTGTCGGGCATCCCTCCAAAGACGCTGCGAGCTTCTTCCAGATGCCCATGCTGGGCATAAACCACTATAATTGCGTTCCAGGAGACGAGATCCCTGTCGGGCATCGTGTCAAAGATCCACTGCCCCTGTTTGTTCTTCACATTTCTCGTACCCCGTGAGATCCTTCTCCGGCATTTGATCGAAGACCTTCCTGTGAGAACTTTTCCCGACCTTTAACTATACCAGCGAACCTGATGCGCAAGAATGAAATAGTAGAGCAGTTCGAGCGTAGCTCCGCATTGTTCTCCAGGCGCGGAAAGTCCAACTAGAAGCATTGAGTTGAAGGGATCGATCCACTTATGCCTGGAGAAAATACGATACAAGTGAGTGAAAGTTTTACTTTGCAAACAATATCTGCTGTTCTCGTGAGCTCTTTCGTAACTATGGTTGCTTCGGAAATCCACCACTTCATACATGAGTGGAATCACAGTCAATCGTTCCCAAAGGGGAAGCCTGAGGAACTGCACAAAGAAATAAAGACCATGCATCTCACATCACGAAATGACTAGGAATTTAAGCTACCTCAATTGGTTATAAAGAAACGTGAGTGTATACAAAAAGGATAAACAAAAATTAATTTTTCTTCTTAATTATAAAGTACAAGTTATTTTTTTATCACAATGGAATATTTGGAATCTTTGTAAACTTTGTAAAACAAAAGGAATAAAAACACCATTATATTAACACAGGACTTCGTCTTCACCTTTCTGGCTGTTTAGGTTGAGAAATAGCTACATTAATGTGGCTATTGTGCATCAAGGCAAGATGATGGGAACTGGTGTCACCACTATGGCTCTCCATTGAGGTGGCTCTATTGAAACGCAAGTATCTAGGTTTTCAAACCGCAAATCTTCACTCTAGAATTAAATGGAGATTAATGAGCGTCCTCCTAGCATGCAAAGAACAAAATGCTGATTTTAAAAATAAAATGCTGCTTAAATTTAAATATAAAGCAAACCATAATTGCTACTAAACCTTCACGATTCACATTACCAATTTCATCCAAATGTGCCAGGTCAAGCCACGAGGTCGTCTGCCTGACTATCTTGAAGACGAGAAGACTACTCGAGAGCTCTTGACCATTTTGAGTTTGAGAACCAGGAGTGAACAGCCACGGAGTTTTGGTGACACGGCAGTCCCTGCACTCGGATGTGCTATCTGTCACAACACAGAAATGAAGTTATGGCGGATCCAAATTCAAATCCCCTCATCGGTGATGCTCTCTCGAGCTAGAAACGCTCCTTTCTCTCGTAAGCAAGAAATTTAATGGCTGGAATGCCTTCTCCACAAATAATTAATATCTTTAAATTAGGTAAGCCACAAGAGCTTCATGCACCTCGTCAGACTAGTCGTTGTTAAACATTTGTTATAGGCTATCACGACTTTGTGACCGGGCTACAAAATTTCAGGATGCATATGCATCTAGTGCGATTGTTCACACCCGTGTTGGAAACGATCACCTGGAAGAAACTGTAAAACCAGAGGGTGACTCCAGGATCGCAAATTCTGTTGGGGATCTTCGCTGAGCATGATGCCTCAACATATCAAAGGATTTTATGCTTCTTAGGGTTGAAATTTGGGCTGGGTTGTGCCGGGGAAGGCACTAGTGTAAGGCCAACCCGACACGCGGAAGGCCGGGTAGCAAGCTACCGGTAGCCCCCGTCCCACAAAAAATTAGATAATAGCGTTGGAACACATGGTCCCAATATCAGCTACTAACTGATAAGAACAGATACTACACACGATCTAAGCCAAGAGGCTGAGAAAGGTATGAATTTTACATGTCCAGCCCTCTCTTTATATACTCAAACCCTGGCACGCGTTTGCACCATGGCATGTGGGATAGGGCGCCCGCCGACGTAAACATGTCTGATTAGGGCACAGGTGGCTGCCACCTCAGACTTTCATATTCGCAGAATCGTTTTGCTTCCTTTGGCGGCAAGTGTTAGAGAAGAGAACGTAGGGCACCGGGTCCGCTGGCCGCAGCTCCATCGCTCTCTCCGCCGCTCGGGCGCTTCGATCGACATTGCTATAGCTCGTGCACGCCCCCAGGTAGCAAATCCAGTCGTGGGCTTCCGGGAGATAGGGCATGCTCGCGATCAAGTTCTCGGCGTCTACCAGATGCCCAGCTCGCCCCAGCAGATCGACCATGCATCCATACTGCTGCTTGCTCGGCTTCATCCCGAAATCGATGATCAGGGATCCGAAGTAGCTCCGCCCGGACCTGGCGTCGCCCGTGTGGCTGCACACCGCGTGAAGAACACAGGTGAAGCACGTCTCATCGGGCTGGATCCCTTCCACCGCCATCGCCGAGAAGAACTCCACTGCGTCGCTGGGCTGCCCTCTCTGCGCGTACGCGACGAGGATCGCGGTCCATGACACAACGTCTTGCTCGGGCATCGATTCAAACAATCGCCTGGCGGTCGCTAGATGCCCCTTTTGGGCATACAGTGCGAGCAATGCCGTCCAGCATACGTGATCTCTCTCCGGCATCGAATCGAAGATAGATTTTGTCTGGTCAAAATCCCCTGTCTGTGCGACCGCCGACAGCATTGTCGTCCAGGAGACAAGGTTCTTGTCGGGCATTCCTCCAAAGACGCTGCGAGCCTCTTCCAGATGCCCGTTCTGGGCATAAACCACGAGAATCGCGTTCCAGGAGACGAGATCCCTGTCCGGCATCGCGTCGAAGATCCACTGTGCCTGATGGATCTTCACATTTCTCGCGTACCCGGTGAGCATCGCAGTCCAGGAGATGAGATCTTTCTCCGGCATCTGATCGAAGATCTTCCTCGCCTCGTCGAGCAACCCGATCTGCGAGTACATGCACAGCATCACGGTCCAGGACGCCGAATCCCTCGCCGGCATTCGATCGAACACCTCCCTCGCCTCGCGCGGCAGCCGATTCTCCGAGAAGAGCAGCAGCATCGTGTTGCAGACGAAGAGATCCGTGCAGGGCATTCGATCGAAGACGCGGCGAGCGTCCCGGAGATCCCCCCGTGACGCGATCGCCGCTAGCATCGCCGTCCAGGAGATGAGATTGCGCTGGGGCATGGAATCGAACACCGACCTGGCATCTTCCAGCTGCGCAGCGTGGGAATATGCCGTGAGCAAGGAGTTCCAGGACACGAGGTCCCGCCGGGGCATCGTGTAGAAGAGGTTGACGGCATCTTTTAGATGCCCGTTCTGGGCATATGCCGCCACGATGCTGTTCCAGGAGATTAGGTTTCGCTCGGGCATGGACTCGAAGAGATTCTTAGCATCTTCCAGATGCCCATTTCGGGCATTTGCGCTGATGATCGCATTCCAGGATGATAGATCCCTCTCCAGCATGGAATCAAAAGCGTTCTTGGCCTCTTGGATCTTGCCGCTCTCCGAGTAGGCTGTGAGAATCGTGTTCCAGGAGATTAGATCCCACTCCGGCATCGCGGCGAAGATCTGCTCGGCGCTGGCTAGATCTTTGTTCTGGACGGATGCCGCGAGCATGAGATTCCAGGAGTAGAGGTCTTTGGTCTCGATCGCGTCGAAAATCTGGCGAGCGGCCTCCAGGCTCTTGCATTTTCCATACATTTGGAGTAGGAGATTTGAGAGGAAGACGATAGATCTGGATGGGAGCTCGCATTGCGATGCGATTCTGACGTGCGCGGCTTTGGCGTCGGGGAGGGTCTTGCAAGAGCGTATGAGCTCCACGCAATCGCACAGCTCCATTCATTGGTAAGAACAGGGCGAGATCGACGGTCGGGACGGTTCTATTTCGTATTCAACGGACAGGATCTCGTCTGCCCATCTTTTTTTTCTCGAGAGCTATGGCGATGGCGCTAGGGCTTGGCTTCTCGTCGCCTCCGGCAGTGCGAGGCCATGGCAGCCTGCTGCTCGATCGATCGGGCTCGGTGTCTGCGCATAGGAGGGGCCGGCGATTCATCGTTCGCGCCATCAACGAAGACGAAGCGCGAATCCTTTCCATGCGCGGTAAGATCGGCTCACATTCTTGTCCTAGAGCAGTGTTGTTTCGTTTTTCGCTAGCGCGAAATCTCCCGCTGTGCTCTTGCTCTTTGTTCGCGCTACGTTGTTCCTGACCCGCGCAAATGTGCTCCTAGATAAATCGTCCAGTACACTTGCGAAGCGATTTCTTGCCTGGGGCCGCGATGTTCATCAGCAAGCATCCCAGCAAATGCAAAAGTTCTTTCATGGTATTGCTAAGTTTTCTTTCTCGTTTCATGATTCGTGCTGTTCTATCAAGTTCCTTGCTGCATAGCATAGTTAGTATTCAATTCCCTGCTTCCGTATCGTTCTCCTTGGCATGCTAGCACTTAGGACACTAAGACGAACTAAGGTATCAACTTTCATGCAGCTTTATGAACTCGCAGAGCTTGCAGATGGGAGCCTCTTGATCTCGTTTGGAGCGCCAGCAGCAGCACGATCTTCCCCCAAGGCTCAGGATGCCGCCAAAGCTCATACGCTACCACCACGCCCGCCATCACGGTACTCAAAAGAGTTTTCTTACATTACCAAAAGAACAAAGAAGTACACAGGGACTGAGCTTGCCTTGGTGGTTCCCAGCAGTGTTGAGAAGAAGGTGCCGGTCAGAGTGCCATCAACGTTTTCGAAGAAGTCACCGATCTCTCACAGACGAAAGAGACACTCGGAGCTGGCGTCGGACGATTCCGTGCCAGTTTTGGCGTTCAAGGACGTTCAGATTGAAGAAGAAGTGACTGAAGCTGCTAGGAGTAAGCTATTCAGGCCGAAGACCACCTTTGCTCGCAAGTCACCAATTCCAGACGCAAAGAAAAGTACCACTGTCAGCGGGAAAGGAAAATCAAAACTTCCGGCCGTCCAGCAGGTTTCGGACACGACTACTACGGAGTCAAAAGCCGGGGAACCTCAAACACCGAGGCTTTCCAGGCCAGCAACTACTTTCATTCGCAAGTCGCCCATTACGTTTGGCAAAGGTCGAAGGAAATCACGGTCCTCGCATGTTGGAGCTTCCGAACAATCTTCTAGTTCAGCTGCACTATTTCTCGAAGACAATCTGGCGACAACCAAGTCGAAGTCGACTAATGGCACATTGCCTAGGCCGACGTCCGTTTTCACCAGGAAGTCTCCGATCACACCGGGCAAAGGTGGCAAGAAAAGAAGGTCTTCTAAAGCTTCGTCGAACGACACTGCTGTCAAGTCCGAGAAGGGGTCTCCTGTCTCCGACAGCAGAAGTGCAAGTGAGGAACACAAATCCAGGCTTCAGTCGAGGCCGCATGCTACTTTCGTCCGGAAGTCGCCCATTACTCACGCCAGAAGCGGGAGACGAAAGAGAAGAGCTGCTAAGAAAATCGACCAGGAGTCAAAGGCGGCCAACGTTTCTGCAAAGTCGTCCAACGAAACCGTATTACGAACGGAAGACACTAGTGTGGTGACGGAGGTGATCGTCGAGACTCCAACAGATGCTATCAAAATTATTCTGGGGCAGAAGGAAAGCGTCCTGGTCGAGGCTGTAGGAGTTGCGAACGGTGAGCCCGCTGGTGTGCTGCTAGAGGCAGAGAAAGTGGAGAAAGTCTCAAGCGAGCTCCTCAAGGACGGAAATGATCCCGCGACTCTAGACGGGAACTTGAAAGCTGCCGATACAGATATCGAGCTGTCGGACGATGACACTGCTGCTAGTGATGAAACGGACCTGTCTATCCTGACGATCCAAAGGCTTCGCAGCATTGCCAAGTCGCGGGGCCTGAGAGGCTACAGCAGGTTGAGAAAGGCGGAATTGATTGAGCTACTGAGGAAATCGTAGGCAGCCAGCGAAGGACTCATAGCAGAGAAACTTTTCTATCTCCAAAGGTATGCTTTTTATTCCATTTGAGACACCTACTGGGCGGACAACTTTTCATAGTTTATTTTCTGTACAGAGAAAATGACGGAGCTTCAATGATCATGAATGACTCGCTGTGCACGAGTCGGCGGCTGGCGGCCATAACTGCGTAAGAAATGAAGTTTTCTAGTATTCTTTTTTCTTGCGGGGAGGATGGTGACATTTCCGTGTCGTAGAGAAGTACATGGTTCGTCATCCACTGAATTGTGATCAAGAAAAGTTCCGTGTTGAATCGCTCGAATCGCTACTGTCACGACTTCGTTGGTAAATCTTGACTGATGTTACGTTTTTTATTCTTTAAAGCCTTTGTTTACTTCTTTTCATCCTGAGACGTGTCTAGCATGACTGGTAACTCGGCCATATCATGCGACTGAGTGATCTCTCCGCTGTGCCGCGACTAAGATATTCGAGACAATGAGAGAGTTCTTCCAAGAGAACTTGAGGGGAAGGAGAACTTAAGAAAGTTCTTCCAAGAGAACTTGAGGATGATCTCGAATGGAGGATCACGAAAGTTATCTTGTTCCAGGAAGACGACGAGGAGGTGTTTCCAAAAGCTCTCGAGAAAGAATCTCTATGACGTTCTCCACGAGCTAAAGGAGACAAAGTGATAAATCCCCGTCGCTAATGGAGTGTAAAGAATAGTGACTTGTGATTGTCACATTCAAAAAAATTCCATTACCGGTATACCGGGGAATATGCCCAACATGCTAGAGGAATATCCCCGCCGGCCATGCCTTCCTTCCTTTGAGCTAGTCCCGTGATGGGAGGGCTCGCCTGACAAACCTCCCATTCCCACGCACGTTTTTCTCTGGAGATTCATAGGGTTCCAATCGATCAACGCGTTCTCTCTCTTTTCTTTTCTCTTTCTTCGCTGCGCGTCGTGCGCGGTCCAATTTTCTTCCTTCTGGAGATTGATCGCATCGAAGAACATCACAGCACAGGGCCGAGGAGGAATTTCGCAAGGGATTTCTCGAATTTCTTGCTGCTATCTCTTCCATCCACAGGGGAAATCGATGCGCGTCCATGAATATTAGCTTGCTGGACGACAGATCGCAGGTCGTTTGCGGGAGAATCTTGAGCCGGCCCAGGAGCTCTAGCCGTCGCTGGCCACAATCGCGTTTCTATGTCTCGGCGGATTGCATCGGCAGGGAATTCAAGCGGGGGATAGTGTGGATCGGCCGCGCGGTGTGGAAGAAATCCAAGCTCTCGATCACTGCATGCTGGTCGCCTCGCTCTTTCTCGAATTCTTCCTCCTCGTCGTCGTCGATTCCATACCATCGGCTAGAGATCTTCCCCCACGCGACTGCTCACGCGCCCAAGCCCTCCCAGCCGTCGGATGATGTGCACGAATCGTGCGGCCTCAAAGTCGCGTATGGAGAGGACACTGTGGTGGTCAAGGTTGGCATTGTGGGAGACTGCCAAACTGGAAAAACAAGCCTCATGGTAAGTTCTCTTCTTAGAAGATTTTCTTGTTCTTTTCGAGTGTTTGATACTGTTCTTTCCAGCAAAACTACGTAGTCGGAGATAGAAGCAATGGAGACGAGAGCATTTTCGGCGTGAATGCGATGGACAAAGTTCTTGACATCCATGTCGCCAAGATCGCGCTCAGCATTTGGGAGCTCGGAGGTAAGCAAGAGATTTGAAGCTCACTTTGTAGAACTTGGAATTCGATAGATGAAATCTTCCAGGCTACAAGAAGTCGATGGTACCAGCTGTTTGCAATGACGCAGCAGCGATTTTGATCCTTTTCGACCTCACTAGACGCACCACTCTCCACAGGTACCTTTGGAACTTAAATCTCTCGAGAGTTTCTCGCAAGTTTGATGATCCAATGTTTTGGTTCTACAGTGTAAAGCAGTGGTTTATGCTTGCCCGACAATGTAACCAGGTAAAGCTTATAAACACTCGCCAGAGATGATCCGGGTAAAACTTTAATTGCTTTTGCAGGGCGCAATTCCAGTTCTAGTTGGCACCAAGTTCGACCAGTTCATAAAAATGCCAGAAGGCTTGAAGTCTCTCATAACTAAGCAGGTAAAAATCACCAAGCTTTTATAGCCGAGATCGAATTTTTTTGTTTTTTCAATGGTAGGCACGGCTGTACGCTCAAGCAATGGGCGCGCCACTGCTCTTCACCAGCACTCCTTACAACATCAATGTACATAAGGTTTTCAAGATCGTTCTTGCGAGGATTTTTGACTTGCCTTGTAACATATCCAGAAATCTCACGCCTGGAGAGCCCCTAGTTGTGTACTAGGTAGCCTCCTGACAAGATTTTGATCCCTATTCAACCATACATTGTTTTATAGTCAATTTTGTTGACCATTCGACTTTAGTCAACGTAATTGAGCTTTGTTGATCTTAGTTAGTCTCAGTTTAGAATTAGTAGCACGACCGTCACCATAAATTAAGCTTCTAGTCATTGATGGAGTTGATCTTTGTTAGTTCGTTCCAAAGTTGTGATTGTCATTTTCGCTGGAAGATAGAATTGGAGCTTCTGCCGCATTTCAACCCTAGAAATGCGGCAGAAGCTCCAATTTTATCTTCCAGCGAAAGTCACACCACTAATTAACCATTGCCGCCTTCCAAATTTGCGGGCTGGCTCATAAAAGTCAAGTCGAAACATCCAGTGCCAAGTATAAATACTGTGCCACACACACACAATATAACTCAGTGTTCTCTCCACTAACAGCCACTAAGAGTGATAGCAATGGCTTCTAGCACCAAATCTGCGTCGCTGCTTCTCCTCCTCGCCCTCTTCATCGCGATCCACCACTGCGGCGCCCAGCTCACGGATTGCCCCAGCGACACCAGCCCCAACGTGGTCTACTACAACACCCGCAACACCCAGCCGGGCAGCGCCTTCCAGAGAAATCTCTCCAACGTCTACCGCCGGATCATCAATGGCGCCACATTCCGCCAGGGATCGATCTCCTACAACGCCGGCGTCGACCCAGATCGCGTCTACGGCTTCTCGGCGTGCTTCGGCGGATTCACGGCGCCCGGCGATTGCGTCCAGTGCCTGGTCGACATCAGGGCGAATTTCGATAGCGTGGCGCCGCTCGCTGTTGGCGCGCGTATGTGCTCCAGGAACGGCGAGAGGACGTGCTACCTGCGTTACGAGAACTACAGCTTCTAGGCTCTCTCGCCTCGAGGAGCCCAAAATTTTAAAATAAAGGAATATGCTTAAAGTGTTCTTGACCCGTTGACTCAGTCAAAAGGATGGTCAGTCAAACAGTGGTGTACCGTTACGCGGTGCGATCGGGGCCGCCCGTTTGCGAGGGAAATCCAATCGTTTCTCCTTCCAAGCGAGGGAGATTTAGGGTATTTCAAGAATGCTGTGTGGCGCCGGGCTATGGAGTCCTCCACCGCCGTCGGGCCGGCTGGATTGTCGCTCACATCGGCGGACAGGCTTCGCATCTATCGTAAGTGTTTCCATGACCTGGACGAGCATCTCGCGCAACTCCACCAGGAAGGATTGGGCCCAAGCGATGCCGAGTTTGTGGCGCTCCAGGCCGAGATTCGCTGCTTGGAGGAGCTTATAATGCTCTTCACGGACATCACGTCGATTTTGCCCTCGATCGCGCCCAAATCGTAAGTGGTGCTTCCGCCCAGTCAGTTTGTTTTGTTTCTGAGTTACTTGGAATGCTGGCGACTAAAGGTTTTCTGGTTGCTTTCTTTCTCGCTTCAGAGTAACTGGAGATGGATTTGATCCTTCCTTACCGAGTGTTGACGGGTTGAATCTGTCACTAGTTACAGATATCTTGATGCTAAGCGCGACTTCCCCGTGGACAGTTTTTGTGGCCGAGCGTTCCCAGGTGATCGATTTCTCAAAAGTTTGACTCAGTCCTCACAATCACTTTCGCGTTCAGTGGCAAATTTGCTATGTCTCACCGAGCGTGAAGCGCGCGTTTGGTTGGAAGGCTTCTGAGCTTTTGGGAGTTCCTGCTTGGGATGGTTGTCACACGGAGGACATTCCGACTTTGCAGCGTGTAAGCTCCTTTGTTTCATTTCATCCTTTTAACACAAGGAATTTCTACATGCTAAGGTATTGCAGATGCTGCTGTTGAAAGAATGTGCGACAACTGGAACTTCTTTAGTGTATAGAAGGCTTAGAAAGGATCGTTCGTATGCTACTGTTCAAGCGACTGGCCGTGCTGTTGGAACCAGGTAGTTCCTTTCTGACTGCCTCGGCTTGTTCAGAAAAACTGTTTGTCCTCGCTTTTCAGGTGGTATGCCTGGGTGGAACAAGACATTATCAACAACAACGCATTGGTAAGGCTGGACTAGTTCAGGAAGTTAACTGAATGGGCTTGGTCTTTGCAGAATGGAACTCCTCAGGCACTCGACGTTCTATCAGATCTTCCTCTGTCCTTGCCAGCAAGCAAGTCTAGCACTAAAACAAGATCAGCAGACTCCGAAGGTGGTCCAAGTATTCGCTCCCGGAAGCTTTCTAGCACCCAAAGGCCCACGTTAGAAGCCGAAGGAAATACACGAGGATGGAACAGCACCGCTCGTCCTGCTTCTCCGCTGGCATCATTGCCCGGTTTGGAAAGACAAACCAGGCCTTCAAAGAGCAGAGGGAACGGTGAGAATGCTGAAGCGCACAGCGCAAGCCAACATTCCTTGGAACCCGATAACATGGCTGATGAAAACCAAGTCATGCTCAAGGTACCTTGTTCATCTTCTAGTAGGTGTTGAGACTGACTTAAGTTTTCCTTAGTCTCAGGGAATGAATTTGCCCATCTCATCTCATCTCAGCTTCTCAGGGTCTGTATTCCTAAGCCGGCTGTTATCGTGTATCACGAGTCGTTTGTCGAACTTATTTCTTATCTAGATCCGAAACACAGCCCGTGGAGAAACTGAGAAAAGGAAAGGCAGTACACGACGAGGGTGGAGCATCAAAGCCAAAGGTTCCAGGTACTCCTTCCCAAGTAGCTGCTTCTTCGAGGCCCGCTAGTGCACAACAAATTAACGAAGAGGTTGATCTTCTTTGGGGAAAAAAGGTGACATTCTTTCTACATTTAAGTTTAGAGCCAACCAAGTCAGTGTTTTTCATTGCAGATTTTGCTGGTTGAGGATGACCGAGTTAACAGAACTATAGCACAGAGGCTTCTGGAGAATCTCAAGTGTAACGTGAAAGTAGCGTGCAATGGGAAGGAGGCCTTGGATATATTACAAGAGGGAGCACCAGTGAAGGCGGAGGATATTGAGGAAGGAAAGGAGATACCTCCGCAGTTCGATCTCGTCTTGATGGATTTGCTAATGCCAGTGATGGACGGAACAAAAGCGGTGAGTGCTAGCGCTCTCTCTTCTCAAGTTTGTG